TTTAATATTAACTTTATTAGGATAGTTTTCACAGAATTCTATTTAAAGTAATAGTTATTTAGATATTTAAATTTTTAAGTTTATTTAATATAAACAAAGCCTGAACCAAGATACACAAGTACAAATAGTGCCCCAGGACAGCCCAGGATGATGTAACAACAATAAAAAAAAATAAACAATAATTTTTGTGTTATATCTGATCTTCACATATCGATAGTTAATAATCGATATAAATCGCTATTTAAATATGTATTAATATATATATATTTATTGATATATATTGATGCTAAATATTTATCGATATATAACAAATATATCAATATATATTGATTATTAACTATTAATATTTATCGATTTCCTGCTATATATCGATTAATATCTTATAAACAGTTTTTTGATACTGCTAATCGAAATCCTTTACAATATACTGCTCTTTGCACTTCACAAAATTTTACCAAAAAGTAGAAAAAATAGTGTAAGGATCATTGTAAAAAAAGGAAAATCATGTATAGAAATACGTGTCTGCTTTGAGATAAATAATATATGATCATATCCTAAAATAAGAAGTACGTGAATACATTGCAAAGTTTTATAGAACCACATGATTAGAAATTTTGAACTTGGACTTTTACTCAAGAACAGATATTTTGATTAAGTATTACATCCTAGATATAGACATAAATAACTAATATAAAGGTTAAATTAGTTTATTTAATAGTACTATATAATGTTTTTAGTCTGACATAGGCTTAATAGTACTATCTTTGTTTTCTTTTTTTTGTTTTTGTTTCTTTGATTTGTTTGGGTTTATTTGTTTTAGGTGGTTTGGGTTCGCTATTGAGTTTATTTCCCATTTTTACTCCTTTTGATTTAGTATTTGTGTTTTTCTACTAATAAGAAAAGCCAATATTGATGCTTATAGCTTGCAGTCACCAGCCAAGAATTGAAAGGAAAAAAGTCCTTAGGTAGTTTTAGACCCGGATTGAGGCTAATAACTGCTGAGGCAAGCCACATTAGGTATAAGCTTGGTGAGCTATTTGTACAGAGATCTTATAGCTAGAAGAGAAATTTTTGTAATTTGTCAAATAGTTTTAGTCATAAATAAACAGCCGAATTATAAAAAAAAAAAAAAAAAAAAGTATATAATATATATCTTTTTTAGAAATATTTCAAATAGTTAATAGATAATAACAGTAATTCTTTTATAAATATTATATTAAAAAAGGTTAGTAATACAAGAATATATTATTATATATACTTGTATTTTATATTATTGTCAATTGCTTGCAAAAACATTCTATTATAATAACAAAATTTTTAAAATCTGTTTATCTTGCTTAATTACAAAATCTAAAAAAAAGCAGAAACAAAACTAATTTATTGATAGCTAACCAAAAAGAGAAATTGTAACTAATTTTATTAATTATATATTAAATTAAATTATATGCTTTAAAGAGAATACTATATTTTTTCTTAAATTTTGTATTGAACTTAGTGATAAGATATTAATTACTATTTATTATAATACAAAGCTTATAGTAAAACTATTAGTAGATAAGATTAAAGAAGCAAATAGATATAATTAGATATAATTATTTAAGTTTATAAATTTTGAAATTTTTATAAAATTAATAATATTTTTTATTTAAAGATTTACAACTAATCTAACAATATCAATATGTAATTTAAAAATTAATATATTTTATTTAACATGTTTACTGTATTTAGAACTTGAATACAAATATAAAAAATTAAATCACAAGAAAATAATACATTTTAATTATCAAAAAAAATAATTATTAATGTTGAACAGCCTGTGAATAAAGCAATAATAAAGCTTAACTATTATATTTTATATAAAAAACTCATTAATATTTTTACTTTAGGTTTTTGTTAAATTTAGCAGTTGTGATATCACAGGTTAATATATTTTTAAAAAAACAATTAAAATTATTATTAGTTAGGGTTAGGGTTCGAACTAGTATTAGAAAGAATATATATAAGCAAAATTAAGTATTGAAAACTTTTAATTAAAAGCCCAAGACTTGTTTATATAATGAAATTTTAAGATATATAAAATTTTGACTTTTTTCTTAATTTTTTCTAATTTTTCATTCATTTTTATTACACAAGATCCTGTAATCTAATTAGTCGATCATATTAATCTGCAATATAGCAACCTGCGATATTTAACAATATCCTTTACTTTATTAGAAATAAAAAATAAAATAATAAATAATTTTTATTTAAACCTGCTTAATTACAAATACAACTTTATTAAAAGTTTGATACTTTATAAATAAATAATTGCCAAACAGATCTATAATATTTAATCACCATCTTTATAAACTAGATAAGAATCATATCATTTCTGCATATTCTTTTTTAAATAATATTTGTTTTAACTAGAATTCAGATTTAATTATTGCAATTGAATTTACAACCTCTTTATTTTCTAAACTTTTACTAGCAAAAAGTATTTATTATAATACAACTTATAAAATAATCCGTTATTTTGAACTTTATAAAATTATTAATAATATTAATAGAGTTTTTCATTATCTATATAGTTCTAAGTACTGAAAAAACAACCAATGAAAAAATCAGGATACCAAACAAAAAACACTTGCTAATTTCTTTTGCTCTTTTTATAACCAAAGATTATAACCAAAAAATATATAAAAACTTTATAAAAATAAATGCTACAAAAAAATTTGGCCTAGTATAAATATACATTTATACCAATAGCACCTAGAAAGAGCTATTAAAGAAAAGCTTAAATGCCAGAAAAAAATCAAGCAAATTCAATATAAACCAAAAAATACTTTTGCAAAAATTAATTTTATTGACCTTAATTTTAAGCCTAACTTTCAATGTTCTGAACCTAAGTATTATGTTATATGTTCATAATATCTTCAACAAATTTATTTTAATTTGATTTATTATGCGACAAATCATAAATGCTAAAAAATTTTGATTTATATCTTTTACGCTATTTAATAAGATTATGTTTAATATAATTTTTACTATTAATTCGATATACATGTGACATATTCCTAACCATTAGATTCAGATAAGGAATATAGATATCAAATATGATACAAAATTATAAATATTCTTTTACAAAGGTTCTTAAAACGTAACAATAGATTCAAATTTATGATTTTCTTTCATCCTCTTTAGATTCGCCATTTGTTTTAGAATCATCAGCTTTTTTGTCAGTATCTGTTTTGACGCCTACAATGTTATCAATAGTCTCCTATAATTAACGAATCAATTTTAATACTGCATCATAATTATTATATTAACATGACGAATCACGTGAGATCATACTATACTTTGACGGCATCAATAGTCTTGTTAATAGCATCACTTACAGCTTCTTTCACCGTAGATTGTTTTTCCGTGGATTCATCTACAATGAAGAATATTAATACGTATGAAAAAAAATTTGGGGCAAAAAAAATTAAATGATTTTCTTTAATAATAAATACCAATTGGATTTTGTGGAATTGGTGGATTTGCACCAACACCCTCAAGTGCAGTTGAACTTTGTTGAGTAACATGAGCAACTCGGTCTGGTGCTACATGTTCCGGGTTATTAACAAGATTTTCGGCAACAGACATTTTTAAAAAAGATTTATTTGGTAAAAATAAAGTTTAAGTAAGTTTAATTTGTTACTTTTTTGTGATTTTGAGAAAGCAAATAGATGACCGTATATATATATTAATTCTGCGTTTATGGTGACGAAAGAATGACGAAATATATTACGTCATAATTACAAACCGATTTACGTGATTTGAAGGACTGAATCTCTCATGATACAGTATTAATTAATTTTACAGGTACCAGTAGTGCAAAATTTTTAATCCATATACGTATAATTAACTGAACTTTGTTGTCGTTTTCAACATTCATAAAATCATAAGCGATCTTTACCTGAATTTTTAAATTTCCGATAGTTAATCCTTTTAAAAAATACCGATTTGTAATAATTGATAACATGTGCCTTACATATACTAAAGAACTTATTACGTATTAGATAATACAAGCCCTGTAAGGGAGCCTAAACTGGCATACTTATTAGTAAGCATATCGATATTGAGAACGTCATTAAAACGTATATATGATTTAACATTTGCGTCAGATGTCAGCTGCATAATTATCATTTGACCAGAATCAACAGATCAGCCTAAACTATAGACTACAGACATTTGATGCAAGCGTTAAAATCCATAAGTTTCTGGAATAATGGCCAAACATCTTTTAGTTTCACTCATTTTGACATTTACCAACAACATAAATCAGAACATGTGATGTTTCTATGACCGTGACCGATAAGAACCACAAAAAATCAGAGATGTAAATGGGTCGAGAAACATCTTGCTCAAGCTGTTGAGTCAGGTTACACCTGACGCCGTGGCTTACCACCCTTGAGCTCCGTTCGGAGCTCATTGTATAATCAATCATCTGTTAACTCTTGTTATCAAATGTTTAATTTTCGGTTCAGTTCGCTTCACCGACGCTCCTTTCGTAGAAATAACATTTCACCGACAACTATTCACC